GGGGGGGGGGGGTGCGGGGGAGCATAATTGAATTATCAAATAATTTTTTCCAGCCAGGATAATAAATACTTGTGCAGAATAAGAACTATACCGCAATTAAGGAACCAGAGTTGAGGGTTAGCTCTGTTTATGAAGAACTTCTTTGACATTCACATGAATTGAATATTTACCAACGTTCTGCAAGTAGAATACTCCACACACGTCCATCTTTATAGTTTCCTAGATCAAGAAAAGTAATACATAAATGTATGAGTATCAATGATAACAATGCAGTGCACTGGTAAGTATACAAGGATGTAAATTAATCTCTAAGATTTTGAACATATGATTGGAATTTCGTTTGAACAACCTAAATACACAACTAATAAATATAACCGTCAACCTTTCAAGCAGCAAAGAATATGAGAATGCACGAGCAACTTAAAGTAACTCAATATGCTAAACAAATAAGTGAAAATGGAGTTAACTAAAAGAAAGGATTAACTATGATGTACCATCATCTATGTTTCCTTTCTATGACGAATGGAGATAAATTATGGAATCAAATGGAAATTAAATGGGAACATTGACCAATGCCAGTCAAATTCTAAGCCGATATTACCTGCTGCTGCGAAATTTTAGCATCAAGACCTTCTCTGCCCAAGTCAATGTCAATTTTAATATCTTCGGTCGCTCTTCCCAGTAAAACCTGAAGTCATAAGTAAAATTTTTGAATCCTTATGAACGAAAAGATTGCAACATTATTTGGAAGATTGATTGAAGCCACTCATTTAGTACTTCCAATGATGGAATCAACACTTGTAATCTTCAGTAATCCAGTTATCTAGACTTCCCCTTCTATTCCCTAGCCATAATAATATGTTTATGTGTTACATCAGTCAAACTGGTCGGAAATCTTGTTTTGCATGTGCATCTTGCAAAAAGAAAAATAATATGATGCTCACTAGTCCCTCCCATTCTTCGGTTTTGTTGCTGTCCAATTACACCCAAAAGTTCTGCACACCTAATTAATAATTTGCAAATCGTACACTGCTGGAATTAGAAATATCAATCACAACCCTGTACAATGCAGCATTTCTTGTCCAGATAAACACAATGTTCTTTATGCAGACAAAATTTTCAGTCCACTATGATAAGTTATTTACTTCCAAAACTGCAAAAGCCAGATAAGTGAAGCATTTAATGATGGTATCCATAATTGAGTAAGAATAGATAAATTTTCCATACTTCAGGTTTTTCAAATCAAATACTTCGAGCGACGGCCATGCAAAACAGCTAATGCTCCTTGAGCAGCAGTAGCTATTTGTGTAAAAGCAACAGCAGCCTCCTTCATCCTGATAATTGTCCTCTTACACTCTTCAAATTGGTAATTCATGACTGCAATAAAAGAATGACACCAACCAAAGAAAGAAAAATTCTCAGCAAGAGGGTATGCACCAATAGAGGGAGGCAATTAGCTCCAAACGAAGCTCTTAACCAGTGTTTTAAAAGGCGTGGGCATAAGGCGAANATGTGCTTCATCTCCACAAAAAACTAGTCAAAACAAAGTTTTCTATATGGAAGAACAAAAAGGATAACTAACCTTCAATTTGAACTTTGAACTTGCTTCTACGAAGAAGAATGGAGTTCTCTTTGTATTTGTAAAAACAAAATTTGAATATTCGTTGCTTTTGGGAGATATTAGCAGACTAGCGGACAAGATAAAGAATTGGAAAGACCATGAATTGGGGCTTCAATCAATAAAAAAGGTATTGACTTTTAAATTTAATACATTTCAGTTCCTTTTTACAACTTTTGAGTAATTACCAAGCTGAATTTTGAAAATTTGGGTATTATATGAAGGACTTATTCAACAAATTTTGTTTTAATTTGAAAACATCTCTGGGGCTTACGCCTGACTAAAAATACTCGCCTCAAACGCCCGGACGTACGCCCCGAACGCCTGAGTGTACGCCCCGAATTGCTGGGCGTACGCCTCTTGAGACTATCGCCCCACACCATCGCCCCGGGGCGTTTTTGGTGCGCCTCGCCCCGGGGCTTGCCCCGAAAACGCCTTTCAAAACACTGCTCTTAACTAGAGCTAAAAAGGGACAGTAAATGAAGTGAAGAAGTTGAAAAAGTAGCCATAAACAACAACTACTATGTCTCAGTCCAAAACAAGTTGGGTTCTACTATATAAATCTTCAAACTTCACTGACCACGTTACTCCATTTAAATAATCTCATGTCAATATTATGCAAATACAAATAAAAAGTATTAGAAGTAATGTATATTTTCTAAACGTATAAATCTCTCAAAGTTTAAATGACTCCTAGAAAGCATAAGACCTACAGTAAAAGTGCTAACATCTAAAACATAATCTCAACTAATATGTATGCTATCGCCTATATAAATCTTTTTCTTCAACTGTGTCTAGCTTTTGCTAAGTCCGCATAGATTCCCAGAAAGTAACCATAAAAGCAAAAAATTAAATGCTGCAGTGGAAACAAAATCTTAAACATTAGGGGTCTGTTGGTATGAAGGAAATCATTTTCCATGGAAAATGTCTTTCTTGAAATGTTTTCCATGGAAAATATTTTCCTGAAAAAGGAAAAGTATTTTCTCGTGTTTGGTTGGTGAATGGAAAATACTTTCCGGCAAAAAGTATTTAATATTAATATTAGCAAGTCAAAGAGTGCTTTTATGAAACTTCTGAGTATTGGAGATTAATAATGTGTTAGTCAAAGCAAGTAATATGAAGTTAAAAGTTAAGAGAGTTGTTAGGAAAATGACTTGTGCCCATACGTAAACTAAATCATTTCCTTCAATTGATGGAAAATGTTTTACATGAAAAATAACATCTGACATACCAAACATGAGAAAATCACTTATTTTGGAAATTATTTTCCTAAAAAATGACTTTTGGCATATCAAACACACGCATGCAACTTCATAGAAGACACAGAAGAAAGAATAAGTTGTTTAATGAGTCTACTGAACATTGGACTACCTCTCTTACTAGAACACAGATCCTGGCCATTTGAGCTCAAATCCATATCAAGGATCTGGACAGTGATAAACGGAACTAGTTAAGGTCAACTAATAAATGTGAGGAAAATATAATTCATATACCAGAATAATCGCTCTCAATAGGAAAGTCTTTGCAATTGGATGGTATACTGTTTGCACTTGATTCTGGTGCAATTGCTTTCTTAAGGACATTTTCATCACCTATCAGTTCATTCTTTTGAAGCCATCGACAGAGGACACTGGACGATAAGTCTTAACACATGTATGATGTGCCATCAACGGAGAAGATATTGACGGCATTCTAACAGGAAGAAAAACATCATCATTGGTAGGAACCTCTCCGACCTCAGTGTTTAACATACAACAGATAACTCCATCACGCATTTCAGGAAAAGCAGGATTGACAGACAATGCAGAAGATATCATTTGAACCTCTGAACTGCAAACAAGAGGCTTATCACCATAATGATTCACATGCTTGTCACTTAACTCTCTGGGACGAGCACCGTCAGGAATGGGAAGCTGCTGATCTGGAGCTTTTGAAATTTCAGATACACCATTATCAGTGTCATCAGGAGTATCCAACAAGAATGAGCTGAAATCATCAAAATAAGACTCATCAATCATCTCATTTCCATCAGGGCCCACGAAAAGCGGCTCTTCGTCATCTTTACAGTTGAACAAATAATTTGATAGCTCAACTAAGTAGTCATTAGTACTAAGGGATGAATTTCTCAAGATATCACATGAGATTTGGTCTTCCAAGTTGGATGATGGGTTGACAACAGTCACAATACTATATCCTGATGTGTCCATTTTATTTGCCCCACCGTGAACTGGAACTACTAATGTATTTTCAATGCTCAGTTCTTTCTCGGCATTTTCAAAATCAGACGGAGTTGGGACAGAAGCACCTGCAATTGTACTCAAGTCTGACAGTTCAAATGACAAGGCACTGTCAGGAAATGAGGCGGTGAAGGCCTGGCTTTCATATCCAGAAGAAGTATTTCTCACATCATCATCAAATTGACCTGACATATCTAGCAGTGTAAGTTCTAAATCCTCTGCTTCAAATAATTCGCTAACTGGCAGTTCATTTGGTTGACACAATCCCCCAACAGCGGTGATCATTTCGCGATTCTCAGCAGGGGGAAGAGCTTCTTCAATTCCATTGGGGAAATCCTGAAAGCTAAAGCTGCCAACAGAAACATCTCCATTATGATTCTTCCCAATGGGTAAAGCTGAAGGAGCAGTTACATAGTCACTAGCATAAATGGAATGCCCAGATCCATGTTCCAGAACGTTATTAGGTATGACATTAAAATTAGACTGTTGATTACCAAAATTATCTATCAGTGAATCTACAAACATGCAATCCACGAACTGAGGATCGTCATTATTTCCAGCTCCACCAAGATAATCGGCATCCACTGAGTCAAATGTGTCGTTACAGATTCTCTTTTGCATAGCGCAGTAACATGAGCGGATGCTCTCAGCTTTTCTCTTCTCAAGAACACACTTTTTACTTTCTTTTGCCTGCTCAAATCTAATAGAGTCAGATTTTGTTGTCGAAGCAGAATGCTCAAACTCCATCATGAGAGATGATGTTTCAGAAGAAACAACTGGATCACATAGAAGAGCATGCCATCGATCTTGCAATTCTTGAACAGTAAATCTCCGGGAAAATTGAACTGCACCTTTGGCAAGTGATTCCAAAGAAGCACCAGCCTGGGAAAAAAGGATGCGAAAACTCTATTACCAATTAAGGACAAGTAAATATAAGAACAGAACATAGATCATATAGTTGTTCCATCTTTGCTTTTCACAACTTAGTTAAAGGATTACTAGGCCTATCAAATTAAACCCCAGCACCTTTCAACGAAGTAAGAAAATATGATCTTGTTCGGGCTAACACTAGTATTAATTGTGACAGATACTTATGTATAAGCATCTCTAACATGCCAATTGAACAAATTATCAGCTTACTTGAGTTTTAACCTTAAAGCTTCTGAAATGCTTCTACTATGGGCTTCATTTTGGTGAAGCAATAACGATTTACTCTACGTTTTAGTTTACACAAAATTCAGAAGCTATTACAAGTTAACATGTCCTTCTTCATTCCTCAATTACTCCATAAACTGGTCAGTCAAAAGTCAAAACACTGTTCTAAATTCCACAATAAATTTAATATTGAAACTTTTATTTTAAAAACTTTCTTATAACTTACAACAAATACTACAAATATTATTAGAAACAAATAAGACATACTATAAGTAAGAAACGATTAACTATACAATTAAATAATAGTTTTAACGAAAAAATTTCATTTAAATAGTCTAATACGCGTATTGTTAATTCTCATTGAACTCGTAAATAGCAACCAACACTTTTTATTATTCTAGAACTTAACACAAATTACATTTTTAATATACATTTAACCAACTTATAAAAAGAAAAAGCCTATGCAAAGTTATTTCTTTCTTAACGAATCCAGTTTCTGCTCCATTTATCCAAAAAAGCATAGAACTTTCATACTCAGTTTCAATTAAACACGCCACCACAGTCACAAACCTTAAAGAAAAGCACAAAAAGTACATAATTGAAAGAAAAAAAATAAATTTGCAAAACATTTGATACTTACAATTAAAAATCACAAAAATTAAATTTTGAATGAACCAAAAGGCAAATTCATGTAAACAAAATGTGCACAGTTTAAAGAAGCAAAATTCACCAAAATCTAAAAACACAGAAAAGTAGAGGGAAAAATGAAAACAAAAGGAAAAGAAGTAGTATTGTTTTTGTACCTTAACGGCGTTAATAAGCAAACGGTCGTCTTCAGGAATCCAAATAAAAACAGGAGGAGGAGCTCCCATTGTTGCGCGAATTTGAGAACTCAAAAATCAAAAGGTGGCGCCGCTTTCTAATTTGCTCTTTTTATGGCACTATTGTTTTTGCTTTTCTTTTTCTATCTCTTTAGAGCATTTGAGAGTGAGACAGGGGAATTATTATATTCAAGAATAAAAATAACCTTAACAAGAATCAGTATTTATACTAGTTGGAGATTTTCTTAAATGGGGCCACACACTATACCCACTTAAAAATTTTACTTAATTTGCATTTGCTGCCAAATCAGATTTATGTACTTGGGATTTTTCTGAATCTGATTACAAGCCATAGGAATAGAAGGAAAATTAAAATTAAAATTGAAAAGGGATCTTCAGCAAAGTGTTAAAGTTATTTCCACATATGTTCAAGTGACTTCCCTTTTTTCTTATAATAAAAATCATGCTCAATTTTTATTCTTATTTTGGTTTACTTTAAATATTGAATTAAAATTATCGAGCATATAAATAGTAGAATTTTAAAATTAGTTACTAATGTAATCAAGAAGTGTGCTATTATGTGACAAATCAAATTATTTAAAAAAAAACTAATAACTTTTATTCCTTTTTAGCTAATCTCAATTTGACTACTCAATCTAAAAGGTGTGAAATTCATAAACTTACTAATGAGCAAAAAGTGAACCTTCATAACTGAGATTTGATAGTATCGATAAACATAATCGCTATTAAAGTAACTTATTTAAACATTTGTCAATTATACTAAGCAGTATCTTTGAGATTTAATTGGATTTCCATAAAAGTTTTTGCAAAACAGAAAAGGGTCTTTTCATTAGATTCTCCCTACCTGATTTTGAAAATACATATAGCAGGATACAAGCAGTAAAAAGGAAGCCTTGCAAGTTGCAATACAAAATCTTTAGACACCAGATTAAGAATATATTTCACGTCCTTTCACATATTTATAAGAAAGTTAGATTACCTTACTAATAATTTACACGACTGTCTCAATCCCAAACAAATCAAGTCAGCTACCTGAATCATCACATTCAATATATTGCTCCATTTTAGCCCCGTTTAATTCTAATATTATTAAAAATATCCACGATAAAGGTGCTTTATATTTTTCACTAGTGTAAAATCTGGCAAGAGTAACTACTATAGGTTTGGCAATTTGTCCTCCTAGATTTTTCGAAAGTAATGCCTTTTCAGTACTGACAACTCTCGATACCAAGAAGGAGACCAACTAGACCAGACACACCATTATTTATAGGTTGATTATAAACCTGGAAATCGAATCAGATTCTTCCTTTTTAGAGGAATTCTCGTGCCAACCATAGCAACAGACTCCTAACAAATATTGGTATGAAAAAGTAACATAGCCTTAACACTACAAAAAAACACTTTAATACGACACTTCCCTTACCCAAAAAATAAAACGACATTGAGTTTAAAACCCTTATATAAGTTCAAGGATTTAACACTTGAAAAGCAAAAGTAGTAGAGTAGTCTAAAGAGTTAAGTCATGCATGTCCAAGAAACATTGCATGTGCTTATTAACAATATACCAGGGAAATATTACAATAAGCTAAAGGACCGATTCACTCAACGTAAATTGACTGAACGCAGAAAATCTTCGACTGACAAGTGATGGCGTCTTTCACAAGAATTTTCGTAGGTTACAACTCAAGCTAGAGCAAAAGTAGTAATATCGGAACCTCCTCCACTGTGAAGATGATGATTTGGCTGGTGGTTTGGTTGAAGGCGTAAGGCTAATATGCGTGGCCCTCCATTTGGGAATCCAAGCACAGAATTGTAGTCCCCTTCTTGCTCAACTAATCCATATGGATCCTCTTGTCTTGCATCCTGCACCATTTAAAATTAATTGTTAATATCTCGAAATTTACTGGTCCGACTGATTTGGTTTCATGCCAAGTAGGTCCACTAAAAAAGTAAAGCGCTTCCTATAGAAAATTACGCTTAGTTCTTAGTAGTAATTGATGATCATAAATCTTACATTTTTCTTATTTTTTTTCTTTTTCTTTTCCTTTTGAGGTGGTTCACAATAATTATGTTCAACTATTGAAATTTAAGCCTTGTTGCTACACGTTCTACTTTTTTTTTTTTAAGCGTTGCTTTGCAGTTAGCGATCAATATGTTAATTGGCATCTTCTTTATGTTAATTTGTAAAGAAAGATTTTTCATGCATGCATATATGGATAGTTTAAGAAAAGTTGTGTGTGACCATTCTCAACATACACAACATGATTTTGCTTCTAATTAATATGTCCATTTGATTCCGGTTTGGGTGGAGGAAGACTGATTACGAATTAGGGGTAGGCATTCTCGTCCTCCCTTACATAAAATTTTCATTTAAAATAAATTAAAATTTATATTAAAAAAATCGATCGAAATCGGTCTGTTAATTCGGCCGGTCATTTTAAAAAACCGACAGAATTCGGTAGGTAATTTTATTTTTTAATAAAACCGACCAACTTTGGTCGGTTATTTTCGTGCGAAAATACAATTAAAGAGTATAAATGAAATAAAAGACAGTCTTAAAACAAAATGCACCAATGGTCTAGTAGTAGAATAGTATCTAGCCACAATACAGACCCCGGTTCGATTCCTAGATGGTGCATTTTTTAATTATATAATTAAAATACCGACCAACTTTGGTCGGTTTTTTCGATAATTTTTTTTTTTTGAATTTATTTGACCGACAAAAGTTGGTCAGTAATTTCCGACCAACTTTGGTCGGTATGCCCTTCCGATCTTTAAAATACCGTCCACGCATAAATGGTCGTATTTTGGACGGTTATTGACCATTACCGACCCACTTTGGTTGTTTGTTTTGGACGATTTTGCCCGAATTTTTAGTAGTGGAACCCCACCCCCAAGAAAAAAGAAATGCGGACTGTGACCACACGCTGAATACATATCCGCACATGCTTCTATCTAGCACTAAAATTAATCCCCAAAGCTTTTGCTTCTATACAATATCAAGAAATTTGGGGAAAAGTTTTGTGGATGATTGGAGAAATAAATTTAATTTCTATGCAAAAACATAAATATGCTGGAATTAATAAGTTTAACGACTTACAAATTCAAGCAAGAGATTTCTATGTATTTCTTCCACATTCCTGACCTGAAAATCAACAAAAATAAGAATTTGCCCTCAAGTAATGGAAGGAAGAACTCCTTCCGGAAACAAGCTCAATATATAGAAGGTGAGAACCAAATATATAGTTTTACCTTCTTCTTGTATGTTTCAATCTGATTGCCAATCACCTTATACTGTTCTTTCACAAATGAAACTAAGTTAGGCATTTCTTATACAGAGATACATAAAGAAAGTTAAATGACCGCCAACTTTGGAAGACAAGCAAATGAAATGAAAAGGTAGTTAAGGATATTACTCCTCGCATTCTATAAATCTTCAATAGACAAACAAGACTAAAGGGAAAAGTTTAAGACATACACAATGTGAATATTGTCATATTTTACCAAGTGATTTTGTCAAAGTCTCGTCTAGAACAAAATCATCATATATTTGTGTTTAACTAATAGGAAAAGTGAAGTAAAGTTCAAGACAAAAACAACCAAAGGATGTGGTGCAGTGGATGAGACTGTTCTTCCCTTAACCAGAGGTCTGGGGTTCGAGCCATAGGTATAGAAAAATCCTTTGTAGGGAGAGTTTTATCCCAAATGGGGCCCTACTTGGCACGAATCCGAATATCGTCGGGCTCCAATGCGGGTACCGGACACCGGGTGAGAAAAAAAAAAGTTCAAGGTGAAAGAAAGAATTGTCATTAAGCATATGCCAGCTACTTAACAAGTTAAATTGAAGAAGAAAAAAGAGAAAAACAAGAAAATAGAGATATTCTGACCTATTAAGCTAAATTGTCATTTTATCTGGAACAACTCTGACAATAATTAAATAATGGTAGCAAAGCTTCCCTCTCTAGTTTTAAGATAAGACATTACCTAGTACCCCTTTTGCATTTTAATGATCTTAAGGTAATTAAACAAAGTAAAATGTAAGCTAGTGATTGAAGCATCAACTATATTCATATTATACCTAGGCTATTTTTTTTTTATTTTTTTTTGTGGACTATTAAGATTCAAGTAGATCTGGAGGAGCAAAGGTTCTGACTTCTGAGTTTAAAAGGAAACTATGGTTGATTCAATTTAGAAACTTTAGTTGATAATTAAATTAGTTGGCATTGACAAAAAACCCTTGATTGGAATTAACCTTTCTTTCACGAATAAGCTTCAGAGAATTGTCCACATTTTCATTGAGCTCTTCCAACTGCTCATAGTTCAGATCATTTAGGCTTTCTCCCATCCTCTGCCTGTCCATTCATTAAAATAATATCAGTCAAAATTAAAGATAAGAGGAAAAAAAAAAGATTTTTATTTTTATTTTTTTAATCAATAAAAAGCTATAATAGATTTCTATTAAAGATCTACAACTCCTAGGTTGGTATCTACTACCTGATCTCTCTTCGGAGATTCCTATTAACATCCTTTAGCTTCCTCAACTGCTCTTGCATTTTCTGCACAATATTAACAAAGTAATAAATCTGAAAACACCTCGAAATATATAGAACATATAATTACACAAAACAAAGTGTATTTTCTCTAAGAGATCTTGGGTTATAAGATTGTCACCAATTATTAAAAAGAATTACTACGTCTTTGACCATGAAAAAAAAATTAGGTCGGAACAAGGATACGTTCAAAATATTTTTAATTCTCTCTAAGAATTTAATCTTTTAAATGAGATATGTTACGCGATTTGACCAAAAAAGAGGAAAAATCTAGAGAATTTAGAAGGAAAAAGAAGACCTCATAGTGGAAGTTCCAAAGATCAACTCCAACAGTCTTTTGATACAGATCGAACAACTGCTTGGTCCTAAAAATATAAGAAACAACATCAAAATAATTAAAAAGAAATATACTACAAATTTGAAAAGAATTAATAGAAACTTAAGCAGCTTTTGGATACATACGTGATAGAAGGACTTATAAATTCATGAAGTTTGCCTGTACTTGAAATCATAATTATAGAAACTTTGGCATCACAAAGAACAGTGAGTTCATTAGCTTTCTTGAAAAGTCCATTTCTTCTCTTAGAATAAGTCACTTGCC